CTCAGCTCCCTCTTCACCAAGACGGTCCGATGCAGCGCCTGCTTTACTGCTGCAGCTGCACCGATCCGTCTGTCGATCTCCCGCTCCATCTTACCCTCACTCGTGAACAAGACCCCGAGATACTTGAACTCCTTCGCTTGAGGTAGGCACTCCGTCCCCACCTGGAGGGAGCAATCCACCGGTTTCCGGCAGAGAACCATGGCCTCAGATTTGGAGGTGCTAACTCTCATCCCCGCCACTTCACACTCGGCTGCAAACCGCCCCAGTGAATGCTGGAGGTCACGATCCGAGGAGGCTAACAGGACCACATCATCTGCAAATAGCAGAGAGGCGATCCCGAGACCCCCGAAACTGAAACTGACAGCTGGAACATAATGCCTATAATATTAGAGATTATGTGGTAATATTTTTCACTGAGTGGGATCGTGGTGCAGCTGCAGAATGTAGTTTGAAAGTGAATTATTTAAAAGGCTGCGTATAGTGAATGTGTTTTCACATTATTTCAGTGACAGGGTTTTACTTTACTGCATTTGTTGAAGTAGCTGAAATAAAGCCACTGAATGCTTTTAAATAAAGTTCCAAACAGATGTGTAACATTTAAAATCTACTGTATTTGAACCTTTAAATCACAAAATACATTATCCGACTGCATGTGAGCTTACAATCATGTCTTTGATCTATAACATTCAACTATATCTTTCATCTTCACTTGCTGGCCCCTGTGTTTTGTTAAAGCAGTAGAAAATGTATTTTAAATGTAATGTAGGCTACAGCCTAGTACACAGTAGTAGCCTATGTTACAGAGATAATAAACACGTTTACTGAGGTAAGAAATCAAGTGAGAAGTAGAGTCATTTTCTCATAGACTTCTATAAAATCAGAATATTTTTTGCAACCAAAGGAGTCGCCCCCTGATGTCCATTAGAAAATAAAATGCAGGTTTCAGGCACTCCAGCGACTGTTTCCAATGGATCCCCTCAAATCAAAATGCAATGCTGCCTCGTCACTGACGAAAGTGAAAGTCTGTGATCTTGGGCAGAGGAGCTTTGATGTTGAGCAACTTCATTTTCATTATCCGGTGCTGTACAGCATCCACATATTATGAATCACAATTTCGTGCTTTCAGAATGGATATGAATGTTTGGAATGTATGATTGCTATTTGGTTTTAATAGCATGTTTGGAATTTTAATTAAATGTTTGAAGAGTGGTCTTTTTTTCAATGTGGTTTGCTGTTTGGATTGCTCAACTTTGATTTCACAACCCACTCACTGAGAACAGAAATAGTAGTTATGCGTTTTCCTTCATCCCATTTACATCCTCTGCCATCCAATAGCATTTGTACATAGGTTAGGCTATGTATGTATGAATTGTTTTTATTTCGATACACATTTATCTACTTGGAAAAAATACTTTGTATTGCAAAGGCAGAGCTCTTTGACAGCGCGGACTGATTTCAATTTTCAAAGTCAAACACATTTGCGTTTCATGTAACAAAGTACAACACGACCGCCGAGCAGCCGAGCTCTCAGATCTTTAATAGATACGTACCTTGAAATCACCTTTTTCCTGAGTGGTCATTTGTCTGGTACGCTAGACAGCCGCAACAGAATGTTTAATAATGTTCTTCTCGGTGAGCATTAGTTTGATACATGAGAGTCAGACAGCTGATTTGTTACAGCCGAGGTATCATTTAGCCGAATGTTTCTGCGACACCCCTGTGAAACGCTCTGGCTTTGGGTGCGCACCGCAGGGCTGGTATCTGAATTGACGGGCATGGTTATCTCATCAATATTCATAATGGTAATTTTAACCGTAACCGTTTAAGCGTAAATGAGCTGCTAACGCAGCGTGCCATTCAACCCGCCGAATGAGAAATGGAGAGAACGAGGCCACGAGCTGCAGAAATGATTGGCAAATGAAGGGACGTCCGAGCAGCTCGTGAGCTCAGATTAATGTGTGGATGTGGAACTCACGTTTGTCACATGAAATGGTGTTAAAGAGTCAGCAGATCCCCCCCACCCCCGATACCCATCCCCTCAGAACACCTTTGAAATGAACTCGAACACAGCAGAGAAAGGAACGTCAACCTTGGCCAGGATCATGCAAATGTCTGCGAGCGCAGCAGGAGGCTGTACTCTGCTGAGTCACTGTGACAACACGCAGCAGCTGCTATCAGGGCTAAAGGTCCACAGCACCGAACAGAGGTTCCTTTTGCATTTGCAAATGGCCGACATTATAGCAAGAATAAACATGTTTATGGCTCGGTTAAAAAAATAAATAAAATGGGGGGGTTCTGAAATTGTGCCAATTTTGGAAGAAGACAAAGTGCTCTTAAATAATTGTCACACTTTTAATTCTCAGAGGTACACAGGACAAGGGTTAGGGTGAAATGTGCACCCTGATGGGAAGGCTGTTCTCTCCCTTTATAACTTGGTTTGGTGCTCGCCCACATTAGTAATTATCTTGCACGTGGTAAATAAACTCAAGACAGCGAGTTTATTTACCTTCTGATAACATCCAGATGGGCAACGACACCTTAGTTTTAGTCATTCAGGCCGAGATTCATTCAGTCAAAGGTTACTGTAACGGGTTGTATATGGACCCAAATGCAACACAGGATTCCAGAGATCTTTGGCTTTTATTACCAACTTCAAATATAGCAGGCAGAGTTCAAACAGGATCAAGATCAGAAGGCTGGTGGGTTTAGCGGGAGTCAGGCAAGGCGGGTAAAACAGGGGCAGGCAGGGTTTCCAGATACGGCAGGCAGAGTTGATCAAGATCAGGATCAGAAGGCGGGTGGGTTTACCAGGAGTCAGGCAAGGCAGGTAGAACAGGGGCAGGCAGGATCGGTAACAGGAGATCAGTCCGTGAGAGCGTGCTGGAGAGTCTGGCATAGAACCGAAGAACAATCTGGCAAATGTGTCTGGGAGGCAGGAGTCTATATAGGGGCTTGATTACTGATCAGAGGCAGGTGAGTGAACAGGTGAAGGGAGTTTAGACTGATGAGGAGGGAGTGACTGACAATAAGAGTGAGGAGGGTGTGGAGCTGAACTGTGACAGTTACATTGTGCAGAATTCAGCATGATCAAATATTTTCATATAAATCACCTGGTGTGGCTGTAATAGAGCGCGTCGTCCTTTAATCAGAGGATCGGCGGTTTGATCCCCGGCTCCACGCCGATGTGTCCTAAGGCAAGACACTTAACCCATAATTGCTCCCAAAGTCAATGAATGTGGTTAGTTAGTCCTGATGGCTAGGTGGCACCTTGCATGGTAGCCCCTGCCATCAGTGTATGAATGGGTGGGAATGATGACATGTAGTGTTAAAGTGTTTTGAGTAGTCGGAAGACCAGAAAGGAGCTATGCAAGTACAAGTCCATTTACCAGTTTCCCGTTTGAATTGTATCGAGGCTCAAAGTTATGCATAATCAGGAGCGTGGCCGCATTGAGTGACAGGTCGTTTGCCGTCTCAGGTCGCTCAGACAGACATTTTGAAATGTCAAAGCACACATGTATAGATAGTTAGACATAGATCACCTGCGTTGCACACTGCATTCCAATGGAGCTCTTGGTATTGTGCATGCGTTGGGATACTCAACAGAAGTGAGCCGTTATTCACAACCGTGTCCAAACATACCTGTATCACCCTGTCTAAAATGCTCCACTTTAGCACCCACCTCTCAAGCCCCCTCACGAAAAAAGTCCAGTCTTCCACATCTGCACTCCTGCCGTCTTCACAGCGTCACTGCAGCAAGGGACACACTGGGAGACCCCATTGTGATGTTCACAATCAGACGATCATTGAGGCACGATCCCTGCAAACTCTGGGAGAGTCTAGGCCCGTCCGACTCTCAGATCATCGAGTGTTTGAGGGCTCTCTCGCAGACATTTTGAGTTCTTTATGAACCCTTTCCATAAGTTAGCATAGGATGCTGACTTTGCCTAAGGGAATTACCCACAAATCATTGCAATGCGACGTTAAACACGGGGTAACCAGTGGACGCATGGGGACGTAAAAACAAAGGTAAACAAAGACGACTCGCGTGTGTTCAGCTTGTCTTTTTAAATGTACACAGAAACATTAAGGGTTGAAGATAGAACTAAAAATAAACTTGAAATCGGATATTTATCAAATATTTGATTTTGACAAAAATGAGTAAATAGATTATATGAAGTTCTCATCTTGCGAGGAAAGAGCCAGGAAGACTTTCAAATCAGGGAGTACAAAGTATGAAATAAAACCCAATTATACATTGTATTTTTTGTGATTTTCATGGTAAACGTGATATGTTGCAGCAAAGTGCTGTCCCATTCACACCATTTCAAGCCCCCTCAGTCTCACTCACCCACTTACCAGGTGACGTCAGAAAGTCCTTGAGGGTTCAGGGGGGGACATTGGGATTGGGCCTATGAATCCCTTATGCACACTTTCTGCAAGTCCCCATTTCTGCAGACTTTGTCTGAGGGAATCACCCACAATTCATAGGGTTGTGACTTTAAACACAGGGTTACCAGGGTAAAAAAAACAAAAACAACTCATCACCTGACGATCGAGACAAAAGACAATGAAATGAATGAACAACACTATTCCATGTAATCTCAGGTAGGTCTTTATTCATTAAAAGCAAAAGCAGCACATGTAGACATCAGTATACCTTCAGTACCGTAAGTAGCAAAGAGGTGCATGTGCTAACTTACTCTGCTAGTGTTAGCTACACAGGTTTTTAGAAACTCAAATCTCCTTCAGGCAACGAGTATCTCTATTACACAACGTTCCACCACGATAGCAGCTGAAACAATGGAGCAGAGCTGGATAGTGTCAGACCCTGGTGGGAGCTGGCCGATGCCAACCATGCTCTGATTGGTCAGCCTGTGTTCATGGTGGGACCAGGCGAAGGCTCTGACCCCACGAAAACAAACCAGTTCCACCATGTTGGAAGAATACAACAAAAACAAATCAGCAAAAATAGAAAAAAGGGAGAAGTGTTTATCGTTATCTGTACACATTCGAGTTGTATTTCTTTTCAAGCAAACGTTTTGAATTTGATATACGAGAGCCTGTAAAGTCGTAATTATTCTCTAAAAAGAAAACAAACAGGCCCTGAGAATGAGAGCAAAAGCTACAGATAAGAAAAGTAAAATGTAACATTGTGACTAACATCTCTATAAAATGCCAGACAGGGCACTTAGTAAACCTCAGTGTTGTGATCAGGACTATGACAGACCTGTAACAATAGACCAGAAATGCAACGCAGACAGGAGAAATAATCACATCCACTTTGTTCAGGCGCTTTGAGAAAGTTAATAAACCATGATCATGATGTATACAATAGTCAGGCAGAGCAGACACTAATGAATGAAACCAAACTTAGCTTACTACCTTCAGAGCTATACCTTTGATCTCTGTTTAACAGCCTAGAGATATCATTAAGACATTCATTACCGAGGACGGATAGTTATATTTGTGAGAATAAATAAAATGCATCCTGAGGAACAAAATGATAAATAGGGCCTAATGAAGCACTATGTGAAACAATAGACATGTTGGGAGTTCTGGGCTCATTTGAACTTAAATAAATAAGCGGTCTTTGTAAACAAGACAGCAAACATTTTTAGTCTTGAAATACTTCACTCCATGTAGGAGGGAAGACATGTCATTCAGTCAGAAAGCAACCAAACTCATTGTGTTAGGTCAACCAGGCTCGTAATCGGGCCAAGTCAGACCAAACAAGACCCACATCAGAGCTGTACAGTACAGTAACATGCGCGGACTGAAGGAGCTTCGGTAAGATACACATCGTGTAAGTGTTCGAGCAATTACATTTTCACCAAAAGAACAGAGTTAGAACGCAGTGCGATTGGACCAGAATTGGACGATTACACAATGTTTCTCCAACAAGCAGCAGACACCACACTTGTGACACCCAGTGTGGGACACAACCGTGTGTGATGCTGCACCAGCCGGTATACATTGGGGCATTGGCTTTCAACACCGAGGAGCTGGAAGCACGAGTGGTGCTCGCAGGACTACATGTTTTCAGAAGGGTCTTCCAAAACCAATTCACCTCTCCTTAACGCTCAACAGAGTAGTGACCATTGAGAACCGCCTTCTCCTTGACCGTCTCAGCGGTCCGCCTCTGGTTCAGATCCCGCAACGCTCTCAGCAGGTCATTTAAGGTGGCCTCCCTGCCCTCTTTCTCCACCCAAATAGTGAGCAAATCGTGGATCTTGTCTTCATAGGAAAGGTGGTCTTTGCTTTTGATCACGTTGTCGACGATACCGAGGCGACGGAAGAATCTCTTGTGGTGGCTGTAGTCTATCTCGTCAAAATACTCAAAGCATTTCCTCAGAGACACTTCACCTGCAAACAAAGATAAAGACCTTCAGTCAGGCGCCCTGGCCTCTGTGAGGTACCTAGTCACCAGTGTAGAGACCCAGTGGGTCACACTGTTCCATGTGCATCTGAGTAATGCAAGGAGGGGTGTAATGTTTGAGAGAAGGGAGGAAAGTAAAAAGAACTTTACCATTCACAGCAACAAGCGTGGGGAACTCCACATCTTCCTAAATGACAAAGGAGAGACAATCATTAATATCCAAAGAAGTCTGTTGAAATTCTTCATGAGTCATGAATCATAAGCAGAATACAGTGAATACAACTCCTCTCTGATTCGGTTACCTAGCATGTAGGAAGAATCCCATGCTCCCTTGTTGAATTAAAAATCATTTTGTTGATCAAATACATTTCAAAAAATGCAAAGATGTATTTCAGGTTCAAGTGGAAAGAAACGCAGGCCAATAAGGACAACCGTCTTCAAGTTAAACAGGTGCAATGGGGAATGTGACTCAACACAATTACAGCAGCCTGCACTGTGTCACAACAGGAAGAGTGAAACCGACACGTTTCAATGTGCTTTAAATAGTGAATCAGCAGCGAGTCACAACTACAACCACCACAGGGAAAATCTTCATTTAAATTAATTTCAAGTACTCACAAAAACAATTAACCATAATGATGAACGCAATTATAAACTGTGGGGTCTTTCAGTGCATTTCAAGCGGCAATCTCGGGTTCTAAAAAGTGAAGCCAATGCAGAAGTTCAAAGTCAGTGCCCTAAACTTGTATTCTCTCTAATAGCCACCAGGGGGCGACTCTGGTTGTATAGAAGCCTATGAGAAAATGCGAGAGAGCGCTTTTGAAAAATGTGCATCTTACAATAAAGTAATTCATTTTAGAAAAATCAATTTCACTGATTTGTCCTGCAGCTTTAAATTCAGTTCATTCAGATGTGAAGTGATGTCAATCAAAAAAGCCACAATATTATATTTTTCTCATCTTCTAACAAGATAAATGTGTGAGCATGGACTTTATCTGTTGTTATTAAACCACTTGTTTCAGCTCTATTCTCTCTGTTAATAACATCATTGGACAGTGAATTCATTAATTATTATTTTCTGTGTCTTCATTTAGATGCGAGTGGGTACGTTTGGTAAAAAGATTTGTGCTTTGTCTCGTAGTGGCGCTTCACATTACCGCTTTTAATAATCGTCACGGTCTCTGAACACATGAGACCTACTGGTTTTAAACCATGTTAATAATTAACCTATAAGAGTCCATTATTGGTTAAAACCTCTGGTCTCTCTGACCACTTTTGTCTCTTTGGAGAACGTCATGTGAAATAACTTCTGACTCACATAATTGTCCTACTCTTTGTTCTCTTTCCTCGTGTCTCCCCCCGTGTGTCACGGTGTGTGTACATCTCACTCGAGTCAGGAAACTTGTCAGAATACCCATATTTGATTGGCTGAGCTGCATCACGTGATGTGTTTTACAACGCATTGGTCGGCGTGTTTCCTGCACCGCTGAACAAGTACTGTAACGGCTGAAAAAGCTGCACCGGTTAAAATAGAAGCGCTCTGTCAAAATAAAATCGGTTTTAGGTCCTGGGTCCGGACACAACGGCGTCTGGGTCCGGATCCGGATCGCGGCCCACCTATTAGTGACCCCTGCTTTAGGGGGTGAACTTCCGTTCATGTTTTGCAAAAAACTAAATGGCGACAGCCATCAAATACAACTCACTTGTATGTCCGCATGTTACTTGGCATGTCCGAAAAATCCCATGCTCCCTTAGTATTTCTAAAAATGCAAAGATGCGTTTCATGTTTGAGTGGAAAGAAATGCCGGCAAATAAGGACAACGGGTGCAATGAGGAATGCGAGTCATTCGACACAACTCCGCCACTACGTCGAGTACCACCTTTCACTACTGTGATACGTGAAGCTATGTATTATTTTACACTGTATCCAATACATCGTTTGCCCTGTCATGTCACCCAGTGTACTAAAGTTCTGTCTTGTCTTCTTGTCTCATCCTGTTTCACTGAATAACGATGAATCAGGCATGAGACAGCAAAGCATTACTCAACAGAAACAAACGAGCAGTAAGCAAGGGAGGGAAGGAAAGAAGCGAGGAAGGAAGCGAGGTGGAAATGAGCAGTTACTCTCACCCTCCTGTTGGGTTGCATGGGCACAGCTCGGGGGGGAGGTGCGGGGAAGGCAGAGGGGGGGAGGCCGGTTAGACTGAGCTGGGAGTTACTGGCTGAGCTGCCGGGGCTTTCACACAGCGCTTTACACTCGTCCGATGCACCGGTTGAGGATGTGGCTCTCACCAGTGTCCGGGAGAGATTCAAGCAGCTCTGGGTTTCTCCGCATTCGGTGGGACAGTATTCACCGTCATGCTGGAGAGGCAGAGGAACACGCTTAGAAGAAGAACCAGTCATTTTAAACACTTTTGTATTGCTCAGTCTACTGTAAATTAGGCTGCTGTATTAACCTCCCAGAAAACCTGAGGACACTTTAGTCTTCACGGTCAGCCTTTTATACTGCTCTATGTCTGGTTTAATTCATTCTATAGTGTAAATGAAAATATTTTAAGTGACTCACCTTTCCAGCTTTCCTCCTGTCGGGTGGATTTCTCACAGATTCTGAAGGGAGGATGTGAGGAGAGGATTATGCAACTTAAGGAATTCCCCCAAGTCCACCAGCAGCTACTTGACAGCACCTCTGTGAGACTTAAATTTGCTTTGATGGATAAATCGACTCTGAATAACACACGGGCAGAAAACTGCTGCTGCTCTCAACATTGATGGCAGCACCTCTGGCCACTCCAGTCAGTGTCAGAGCTCTGGAACCCGACCCATACGGCACCGGTCTGTGCTGGATCAGGTGGTGCTTACCAGCAGCATGGCACACGGTTCAAGTTTGGTCTGAACGATGACGATACAAACCCTTACGGAGGTTATATTTTATTACTATTATTATGTAGGCCAGCAGGAAGTATGCACTATGCTGCCTGCTGCTGTATGTCGTCAGCCTGAACTACCAACGTCAGAGCTGCCATCTGCAGTCCGGTTCAGCAGGTCTCTGCGCCCATACTGCTTTGGCACACAGCCAGAGTGTGTCAGAGACACAAAGGCTGCAGTGACATCACTTCTCACACGTACGTGTGAGATACAACCTGTGGCTCGAACAATTAGGATTAACCCGACTCAGACATTCATTTTTCCTGAACATGCATCAGTGGATGTCTCAATACCGGACAGGTGTGCTGCTATACGTCAGTGTCTTTAGATTCTACACTTAACAACATGATTAGATGTAAAGACGGCACTTCATTTCCTGCCTATAATGGAACGGGAGTTTCTTCAGCAAGACAAGCAATTCTGTGGTCACCAAGCTTCGGTTGTCAGAAATGAAAATGTGTCGTGTCATACTGCTATAATTTCCTTTGGCGGGTCTTAATTTCCTGACTGCACCTGTTGACCCGCCACTGTTCCATTCAGTATGCTGCTCGTGGCGAGCCTATTCTTCCCTACCAAAGTATCCTCACTGTGCCCCATTACTTATCATGTACACAATGGATATGGAGGGTGTTAATCTACCATTTGTAGATTCTGCATTGTCTCGGTTTGTTTTTCTATTTCCTAGAAATCATTTATTTTTTTACATACCTGTTCTTCGACATCTCCACACAGCAAATATTATCACCCCGATTATGATGAAAGTAGGGATCAGTAGAGATGGCACAATCATCAAGGAATTTGCTGATAAAAAAACAAAACACAATTGACAACAATTAGCACCATATGACAGAAATAATACATGTCAAGCTTTGTTTCTTTTCTGGGGTTGCAGCTTCACATATATGTAAAGTCATAATATGCACTTATCAGACTTTTAAAAACAGAAAAATGCCATGCATGTGTCCATGTCTCTGTCTTCAGGTGGCGTTAGCATCCACTGAGTGGTGTACCTGAGGGAGAGGCAGGGCCGGGATGCTTTTTCTTGCACTCAGTGTTGGTAGTGGAGGTGCAGTTCCTCACTATCTCTTCATCTTTCTTACACCTAGTTTGGAGGCGGGCACAAAAGAGGAATTAAAAACATGAAGGAATAAAAATGAGTGAGGCGGTCTCAGGAACAACTGTCTCCACTTGAGAAATGAGTGACATAAATAAAAGGACTGATCTTGGACCACTCACTTTGAAAGAAGCGGGTCTCAGGTGTGTTCTAGGTTTGCTTTGCATCGACTCACCTTGAGCACTTCTTGCACGCCTCACATGCTTGGTCAGGGGCACAGAATCCTCCCGGCTTGCACTGACATTTAGCATCCTGAACGTGAGTACACGGCCTTTTGATTTCCTGATCTGAGAAAGCGACGCCAAAAAGAGCTTGTTAAGTCGGAGTTTATGCTCGGAGCACTTTGAAAAGGTTGAATATTGATTTTTTTCGTCTTCCACAGTCAGTCCAATCGATAGTGTAAAGCGGTCAAGCTGAATTACCTGAGCGACACTGCGTGCACTTGAAACATTGACTCAGTCCGTTGCCGTGCTCGGTGTACGTCCCGTCGTCGCATTCCTCACACTTCCCCTCCTCTCCTGCTCCGGTGCAGGGCGATGCCTTACGTGTACCTGACACACACAAACAACCGTTAAAATGTCAATACATATTTTACTGACTCTTCAACTGAACCTGTCACCCAAGCTTCGTAACAACCAATGGATTGGTGAATGGAGCTGGTGACAGAGCTTCAGTCTCAGTGGACTACATCACAGCTCCATGCGTCTTACCAGCTGGACAGTTTAAACAGCAGATGCTGCCGCTCGGGTACTCCAGGCTGTAATCGCAGTCAACGCCAGGCCGTGGAAAGGCCCCGGTGGGTATGAGGGGCCCGATCAATATCAGAACAACCTTCGAGAAAAACAAAAAAGATAAGATAATCCTTTATTAGTCCCAGTTTTAGAATCAATTTGTAGACCGTTTGGAGAGCTGAGATGATTCAGCTAATCGATTGACGAACTAACAGAAAATTAGACAGACAGACGGAGGAAAAAAACTATTCAATAGTACCGAGTGAGTCCTACGATACTGAAATTAAGAAACATTGAGGAAAGAAGTTTGTCTTTAAAGTATTTATTCTCTGAACAGAGAAAGTTCAATCATCATCCAGACTGCAATGCAGTCTGCAGGAAGAAGGCACCCAGAGTGTTGGTTGTGTACGACTTATAAAGGCCTTGAGCACATGGAGGTAGGAGGAGTTCATCATTAAGACATTTGGACAACAGTAACCATTCTTTGATTGACCATTGAAAGGTTCAATGGCTGCACCCCCATTCCACTCTTATCTAAGCTGACAATATATCCTTGATTAAGCCCCACACACACACACAATACTAAATTTGAGTGGACCCTCACTGACCATATCTGACATTGATTAACTTTGTTAATACAAAAAGGGCCAAAACAGAGTGGTCAGACAATAAAAACAGATAGATAAGTCATAGTGGAAATTAGCCATCACAACGTACAGACAGACAGACGGACGGACGGACAGAAAACACGAAAAACATTTATTAGAGATTTAAATATGTCATCTGGTTAAAATTGGCCATTCTTCTGTCAAAGACATTAATAAAAAAATCTGACATTTCACAGACCAAATGATTAATCAAGAGAAAGTTTAGCAAAATGAATCAATAAGGACTAATCGATAGTTGCAGGCCTAATTTTGATAATCAAGTAAGTGTTTAAAGTAAAAAATGGCTGAAGGGTTTCACTCTCATTTAGATCAGAGTAAACTAAAAATATCTTTACACTGTTGCTCGTAAAAAAACATATTCAAGATGTTTTTTGAAGACAGCCCTTACCATTTACTTTTGGAAAAAAAAAAAAAGGTGCTGTACATCCCTTCTTACATCAGTAAATGATGACCACTTTATTTGATGGAGCCAAACTTTTTCTTTATGACTGTCAGTCACACATTTGTGTTCATAAGAAAGGGCTTACACACTCCGCTCTCAGGAAATTACTTGTTTACACAGGGACACTTATCGTAAATTGTAATGCTCAAAGAACTAAATACGAGTCATTTTTTCATGGTCAAGATGACGCAACTCTTCATACGACTGGGCCCGACCAATGAACTGCACCTCTGATCAGGCCACGAGTATGACGGAGAAGGGGATTCCCTTCTGACATGCTTGTAAACATATTCTGAGATTTACATAAATGTAGGAAAATGCTGTGACAATCAGCTTAACTGATGTAAGAATGCCATCTGAAATAGAGGAGACAAACACTTGTCAGCTGAACACAAACAGTTAGTCCAAATAGTCAATACATGGCCAGGTGGGAGGAATAACCAAATAAGGCAATCTGAAAGACCAGATTTATGTCCACACCCATTATTTCCCAACATTATCCAGCTAACAGATCACATGCTTTACCCCCACCCCATTAAATAAAAATGTGGTTAAAACATGTTTAACAATTAAAAAGAGATAGATATAT